TTTTCTAATTTTACGCGCCCTGAGTCAATGAATTGGTCGTTTACTATTTTTTTTTATCGCTCCGCTGTAACTATCACTGCTGAATCTTTCGTTGTACCTAGACAGATCTGATTTTCTGATTACGTCGAATTAAAGGGATATAGCGCGACGCGCTGGTTGGTTGTCTCCCGTACCTGTGTGGAAATTGCCGCAGTTTAAACATTCACTCTACTAGACAGGTATAAAATCACTTGTGAGTTGCGTGCAGAAATCGGCATTGTGGATTTTTTTGTTTCGGCCTTCTGGCGCGTTAGATTTTCACCGTGTGTAGACTGTGATTTTAACGCTTTTCTCTTTTCATTCTGCGTTAAAGGTCACCAGTTTTTCTTTAGTTTGGGCATGCCGCCTATTGATCCTAACCGTGCTTTCGATAAATTGGTAGACGCCATTTTTCATTCGTCTTCCAACCAGCAGCAATATAATGCCAGTTATAATCACCGAGGAAGGGGTGGCGCCCGTGGTACTTTCCGTGGCAACTTTCGTCCGTACGGCCGAGGAAATCATCGGAATTTTGGAGACAATAATCTCCGTCGCGGAAACGATCACTGGCGTCGTAATGGGAGACATCTGGGCGCACCGGAGGTTATTGAAGTACCTGATGGAGCTCCTAACGCAGCTGCACCAGTGGAAGCTACCGCCGCAAACATGGAGGTTGATGACCCGGGAAACCAAGCGGCGAATGCATCGAATCAGGGCCAAGTCGGCGGAGTTGTGGTTCCAGGTCAGCCCGATGCTGTCAACCCTGCTGTCAATTTACATGGCCCGCCAGCCTTGAATGCCGTTGTCGTTCCTCCGGCTGTTATTCCGCCCGCCCAGATTCAGCAGCAGGCCCCGCAGAACGCTGAATTTCCGGGTTTGCCACCAAATGTGTTGCCGTTAGCTGAAGTGCCGATTGTCCGCGATGCCCGTGACCGCTCTCCGGCTGATCGCCCTCGTGCGCCGTCCGCACCTTCCGGTCCTGTTGGATCAGCTGAGCATAATTTTGTGCCTGCTTATTTGGCCCAGCAGCAGCCGCGTGAATTGGATGCTGATCGCCGACGACAGATGGCTGCGGAAGTGTCTCGTCGTTTGGATGCCGCTGCATCTGGCTCTGGTATCACTGGCCTGTTTTCATTGGCTCCTAGTGCTGGCAAGTAACCTCGAATAACCTTTCAATGATCTTTTGTTGTTCGCCCTTTTGATCTCACCTGTGTTACTGCTTATTGTGTTTTCGATTTAATGCACACTAGCGGTACCATTTTTCTGTTATTCCTTTTATTGGTTTGTACTGTGTACCAAGGCTTAATTCTGTGCTGGTGCGGATATTTTTGCTTGTTTGTTGTTGTTGACAGTTGTTACTGGATGATGTAGTACTCGAGAATTCGTAAGAATACTACTTGTGGTTGAATCAGCGCTTTTGTTCGTTTAATACATAGTAGCTTCGACACATTTTCACGCTTCACATCTACACATTGCGTTCGATAAAGCTTTATTCCGTCTCCTGTACATACAAAACACCATCTAAACTCAAACGGCACGGTATCGGTAATTCGTAGTTCGCTTTCCTGGATCCCTTGGACCTCCGCCCTGCCAAACCCGTGGACTTCCGGATGCCTCTTCGCCAAGGATTCCACACTCTAACTCTCTGGGAATCGCGGCGTACAGTCGCATTGGGCATCGGATGGACACGTGGATTGTGCGGTGGATCGGGATCAGGATGGATGGAAGTGCACAATCGCACTGGGATGTTGCGGGATGGATTGTTTATATTGGCACGGCCAAGCATCGTTCGTGGGGGTGACGTGTGGGAGTAGGATCACACGCCGGAGTACGTACAGGATGCTGACTGTCCGCCTTCCACCTGCAACACAAACGGATAATCTAGTCAATCTCTTCTGTGATTTGCTGTTCTCTTTTACTAGCGATGTATATGATGTCATAACGCGAAGTCTATATAAGTTCTTGTTACTTCTAATATCGGTATCAGTAGTCTGAGATTTACTTCTGAGACTGCTTTCTAATTACGATTTTCTAGTGTCGTGAACTGTGATGTGAATTGGATAAAGAGACAGCAATACTTGTTCCTACGGAAGTGCATAGTCGTTCCCGGATTATCGCTTAGTATACAGGTTTGCTCGTGACACAATCGTCCTAGCTCTTGCTGATCCTCACAGGACTTACGACCGGAGATTGTAGTTGGACTATCGTTAGGGATTCCTGACTCGTGTTCCAGACTCGTTCGTCTTATCTCCACCATAGTTCTTCCGTTACAGTTTGAGAGTACGAGTGCCTACCGATTGAGCATTACAGGCGTAGAAGAGTAAAGATTGTTCATGGAGCCTTAAACGGCGTGAACGCTTATACACGACACACTAATAGATTTGGTTTTCACATCTTTTTTATCACAATTATACATCTAATAATGAGCGTGCACCGGCAAATTCTGGGCGAATAAATTAGTGAAGATGTTTCACATGAACGAAGAGAAAAACAGGTACACAATGTTGCACAAAGTAATTATATATCATGGTCTTCTCCTACAGCATGCCAGTAAAACGGCAGTTCTCAGTTCATGAAAGGTCAGAACAAAGCACACAGGATCTGACACAGCTTGAAACATGGAAAGTGTCACGACAACAGCTAAAAACATCGATCCGAGATTTACACCAGCAAAAATAAGCGCTGAAAAGTAAATTTTCGCCGGCATCCAAAACACCAGTAAACTCGCTGTCAAGGTAGTTAAGATCAAGAAAGATCTGTCTCTGTGGCTGTTTCGTCCTTTCATAAAATAATATTGGCTGCCAGATGCACCTTTTGCTGCAATCTGCGCCCTTCGCTTTTGTCTCATCATCCAGACAACTGGATACGCGCAAATGGCCACTACAGTCGGCAGAATAACCATAGCTGCTTGACTAAACACTGTGAAAGCTTCATAATGCTGAGAGCGGTCACAAAAGCTGTCCACATGGACGAACCGGTTCACGTAATACGGGACGACGATAATTTGCATATACAGAAATACTCCACTGCAGATTAGAAGTGTTGTTTTCACTGTGTGAAAACTCCGATAGGAAATGGGGTACGTAACAGCGTAGACCCGGTTGACGCCGATCAAAGCGTGTGCGTGAGCCACCAAACCCGAAAACGTGTAGTGCCAGTAAAACTTTATAGCGCATAATGACGATGCCGCTTGACTTGCATTATGGTACGTTGTATCGTTGGGTAACTGTTTTACGTAAAGACTTATGGCCAGATCGAAAAAAGGGGTAATGCAGAACAGCGTATTGGCAAGCAGAAGATTGGCAATAAATACGGTGAATGGCGCTTTAATGCGGATGCGAATAATGTAGAAGATCAAAACAACAAGATTTAGGAAAAACGCAACGGCAGTCGTAATAGTGCTGGAAATGGCCAGAAGTGAATCACCACCTTTTGCCGCTGTTTTACTGGTAACATTCGATGGATTCATGATCATCTGCAGTCGAACATTAAAAAGGCAAGCTTAACAGTATGCGTTTTATATGGTGAAGTGTCGGAAATTATGTGAGTAATGTCCAAGACGCCAGGAAACATGAAAACCGGCGAAAATTTTAAGTAGTAAAACAGGTGTAGACTGGGCTATAGCTTACAGTATGTCGCCACTGATGGCATTAATCTTATTTTAATCGATATAATTATACTTGTCGGGCCGACAAGTATAACAATGTCGGCCATGGAGCATAGTATGCTCCATGGCCGACAAGGTCGGTATACCGACTCTAGTTTTGGCTAGGAACAAAACATCGATATTTTACGGAAAATACTTCATGGAACGCGATACCGCCCTCAGAATGACCTTCTGGTCATATAATTTAGCTACTACATATTAACTGTGATTGCATGTTATTAGAATTCTAAAGATGTCAATTCCCAAGTGCATACAATTCTGTAATATACTTCTACTCGCTGTTTGAAGCGCGGTGTCAGAATGTACGTACTTATACATGCAAGTGCAAGCGGCGTATCTATAGGGTTGTTGTGACGGAGTCACTAATACGAGTTAATAATTATACTAATACTAAAATATGAGCATAATAATTATCAAATTAGTGAACTTTACAATAATTATTACATCTGTCGGGTGTACTTGAATCCACAGATGCAATACACCATATATTTCGAAAGCTTTAAAATATAAGGAAGGTTCAGAAATACATTTAATGAAAGATGTTGGCGCTACTCAAAAATAAAGTTAATGAAAGAGCTTGGTATTGTTTTCAACAAGAAAGATGGAAAACCGTAAGAAACATGACGGTACATGGTGGGCTGGCTGTCCGATATTACCCGACTGCTCTGGGCGAGGGGAAAGTGTAGGAACAATTTCCTGTGGCTTCTAATGGTATATCGCAGCGCATGATGATGCCGTCATGCGTAGCCTACCAATACTCAACCAATACTATACCAATACTACACTAACCATACATGCGTCGTCTGCCCACTTGTCTAGAACCAGCCGCTTCCGGTCAGCATTGCTGCCAACGTGCCAATAATTGGCACGAGCGGATTTCCCACACTAACAGTCGATAGATCTTAGTAATATGGATTAATTACCCAACCCAGTAGGTTTTGAAACTGCAGCCAAACCGGCTCCGTTTGTAACAGTTTAATGCGTTAATTTGTACCCATCAGCGTCGCGCATGTTGGAACACAAGGCGCTAGCAAGCTTTGCTTAAATTTATAAAGGATATTCAGATGTAAATTATTACAAAAGACCTCGATAATGCATGTTATTGTACAGAACGCAATATGCCTACTCAAACAGCAGACGGTGTATATTCAACAGTAAACGTGTACACATTATGTAACGTTTTGTGAATGCAGCGTACCGGTTCCAGCTGTGATTTGTCCTCGGGATATCTTGTCAGATTGGATCATGATTGCAGAAAAGATGCATGGGAGTTTAAGATATGTGCATTGGCGATTGCAATCTATTCGTACAAAGTTTCTTCTGCCATACCCGCCAATTTAATCAAAACTAGGGTAGCATCAAATGCCATCAATAACTGTTCTATCTATTGTAAGCATATACAAAATTCCAGTAACAATGTTACGTTTCGTCTGCACGTTGTTGTTAATTCCATCTGGAAATGCTGACATTCGGGCCCTTACTCAAATAGTCGATGTACCGCACACTACGCCCGCTCCCGAGACGAAAGACGGTAAAACGTGGCTGTTTTGCTGCACATTTTGTACTATGTATTCATCGTTTCTAAGATGGTGCCGTTTTCGCAAAATCACAGTAGCAAACAATATTCCTGGAACGACGACGGAGTTTTGCAATGCCACTGCAAAGATAAACAAGCCAGCGGTCTTTGATAACTGGCTCGTAGAAACAACCCACAGCATCTCCAATTCCAGCTACCTGAACTATACTATAAATGCTGTGGAGATTGAGGACAATCCAGAATGGTTAGGATATTACTATTCCAATTCAGCCGTCGGGGGCGTTCGGTTTTACATGAACATCACGGAGAAGTCGGATTTCTACTTGAATTCTTTGATCAAGACTAGAAGGGGCTTACAGATACCCGATTTTGTCGGCGTACACCAGGTCGCTTTGCAGCCACATAACGCTTCCGTCAAACAGCTAGAAGATGCGCTATCGGCGGCATGGTCGAAAAATTTCGGTAATTGGTACTATATCTTGTCAATCCGACAAGTGGAGAATTTGTTTTTTAGATACAATGACAGTGTTTTTTTGATAGATGGCAGCAGTTCAACATGGAACCAGGTGCAGATCATTTTCATTGACAACGGCACAGTACTCAGCACCTTGGAAGGGTAGGGTTACGATCCGAATTCAGTTCACACGAAGTATTGTAACTTCAGATGTACGAATATCGTGTCTGCGAGGCAGTTAGCACATTTCTTCGACACTCAGTAGAAACTGCATAGTTACTGGAACCAGTAGAACGTACGAAATTGATCTGCGTGTGCCATTTCAAGATAAACCTTTCGGTTCCTGTAGGTTACCTCTTGTGCAAGTCGTCTATATCCTGCCAATTCGTTCAAAAATTGGCGACGTGAACACACGGATTTACTCTGACGACATTGCACTGAATCAGTTGTCTCGAGCTGATCCACCATCCGTTGCGGATCTCCAGGAGAATCTGCAGAAAATTGGAGTGTCGTTAGTCAGCGGTGCTGCCGTGTACGGCTACGCCCGGTTTACGGTATACTTGAAGCCGGCAAACCTGAGCCATGTAGCCGACATGGCCACCTTGCACAGCGAATTACTAGAAATAGCTACGGAAGAAATGGCCAACCGAGGTTGTGGCAGCCCGCAGAGCGGTGATTTGGATATTCAGTTTGGTACCACTAGCCCGTGGATCATGACGTCGCGAGCAAATGGTTCCTTTTCATAGTAAGCAGCTTATTACAAATGTGCAAAATTGTGCAGGGAGCTTTTGGGGCACTTCGCGGATTTAGTAAGGGTATCAAACCAGATTCGATCGAACACTTATACATACTTTATAGTAATACCCTTTTTGAATTTGGATACTGTAGCTTCACGGTCACAGTAATCCCTTCCGCGGTGCTTGTGCACAACAACATCTACCTGGGCGAGATGCCGTATCTTCCGCTCCATCACAAGTATGGAAAGCAGTTCTTTGACGTACGTGACGGTGAAGCCAGCGTGCTACAACCATATGATGTCCGTAATCCACATCGAAACTCATGTTGATATACTGTAAATAATTTAAGCGAACTAAAATTCACTGAAACCCCTGCGGTAGTTACTAAATTCTCCTGTCGGCTGTCCGAAGAAATCGGACTACCTCATCTAGACGTCCAGTACTAATACGAATTTCCACGGTAACTTATTATGACGCTTTTCTAGTCACAACCCATGGGTTCACCATTTGTCAATGGAACCGTGCCATGGCCGGTTGACAAAACTTATTCATTTCGAATGTATGTTAACATGCCGCAGTCGAACCAGAACAATCCTATAAGATACAGTTGTTAACGCGGCTGGAGGAGCAGATGACTGAGCGGCTGCAGAAATCTTTGAATGATAACGGTATCGAACAGAACACAGCTCCCGTACAGTTATGGCGGTATATAAAATACGGAAAAAGTTATTTTGTAGATGTTTCCCTAAAGATAGCCGTTACTCTTTGGAACCCGGAGCTGGTTGGAAACGCTATCAACTTCTTCGTATCAGTTTATGATTCCGACGGGTTTACCATTGTTAACGCAGATCCGAGTTTATCCTACGCTGAAACCATTTACGACAGACTGCAGGGTCTTACAGTGGAGATGCCGGTGCCAAGCCTAAATGCCAATCTAACTTACATACTGCAAAAATATCCTTCTGGGAAGTACAGAGAACCGCTGACTGACAGTCAAGTTGAGCAGCGGTATCAGTCTGCCAAACAAAGCATCATAAAGGGATGTAAAGCAGGACGTAATCCCTTTGAGCTGTGTCCCGTAAACGAGACGTTCACCTTGTACGTACAGTCTCTGCCAACACAGCGAGCACCTGGCATGTACGACTCCAGACCTACTGCTACTTATGTGGTAAATATTGCACCATTGTACCAGTTCGAGCAAGCTTAGATTTAAACTTGATCCTACTCGTGCGGTTTCAGAATTCTTCGCTAGTCCTTCATGCGGTGGAACAAGCATTTGCCCAAGCGAACCCGGTAACGATTGACGATGTCACACTAACGCTTACGTTAGCGGAACGCGAGGATCTGAAGACTGTTGAAGGGTACGCTTATGTAATCATTTCGCTTTTCATATACAGTACTCGTACATCAGCTATAAGTTTAACACTCGCACCGGCTTTTCCATTTCATACAGTTATAATTTACAAACATCCGGTAACCATGATAGACTGCGTTAAAGCGCAAGCACGTTTTTTTCCGACTACCGTTTGCGCAATAAAGCCACAACATAATTATAAGAATACCTATTTAAGAATAAGAATACCTATCTTTAAACAAGTTTTCTAGGAACGATGCGGCCAAATTCGTCTTTGCTTCCACTTATCCGGGAATGGACAGCCATAAGTACTGGACTTTATGGAGATACCCGTCGGGCGACGTCCTCAGTAGATTTCTTAATGAAACAGCAACGGCTCGACTGACGACATCTTGGACGTTTAAGGCTTATTGATTCGCGAACTATCTGTACTCGTACTCAAGACGCTCTGCTGTGACTTCATTAAAATACCGGTATATTAGACACCGGTGCAGGCGATGCTTATCCAGTAATGACATTCGCTATTCGTATTGACGCTATCTAAAATTTTAGGGTCTACAACTTCTAATTGAGAGTTACGGATTGTAGAGCACGTAATCATGCTTTCTTATCCTCATTGTGGCTGAAGTAAATTGGCTTCATAACGTTTAAATGGAATTCGACAAGTCAACCAAAAATGTGATACCAACAACTCTGGTTTATTTATTGCTGTTGAAGTACCTTTCTTTCACTGCACGATCAAAACATCGCGAATCGTGGTTGCAGACTTTGTAAACACATGTTTTTTGCTCCGAATAATAAAAAACCAAAGTTATCAATACGAAAATATGTACGCCAGCGTTAGACCTGTACCGGTTCCAGCTGTGATTTGTTCTCGGTCCGATTGGATCTTGATTGCACAAAAGGTACAGTGTACATGGGATTATAAGATACTGCATCGGAGATTACAATCTAATCGTGCAAAGGTTCTCCTGCCATGCCCGCAAACTAAACCGGAAGATAGCGTAGTATCAATAATATCTTGTTTAAAATCTGTTGATTTTAATTAGTGTAAATCTGGGCAAGCGTGACATGCGTACTGGCGGCTGCCGAATAAAAAGTATAACACCTTTATCTAATGTAAAAATGTTCAAGATTCCGGTAGTAATATTATACTTTGACGTATGGGAGTAGGATCATACGCCGGATGTACGTACTGGATGCTGACTGTCCGCCTTCCACCTGCAACATAACGGATAATCTAGTCAATCTCTGCTGTGATTTGCTGTTCTCTTTTACTAGCGATGTATATGATGTCATAACGCAAAGTCTATATAAGTTCTTGTGATGCCTAATATCGGTATCAGTAGTCTGAGATTTACTTCTGAGACTGCTTTCTAATTACGATTTCCTAGTGTTGTGAACTGTGAAGTGAATTGGATAAAGAGACAGCAATACTTGTTCCTTCTGATGTACATGATCGCTCCCGGATTATTGCATAGAATACAGGTTTGCTCGTGACACAATCGTCCTAGCTCTTGCCGATCCTCACAGGACTTACGACCGGAAGTTGTGGTTAGCTCGTTCCTGAGGGATTCCTGATCTTCTGTGTTCCTGATTCGTTCGTCTTATTTCCACCTTAGTTCTTCTGTTACAGTTTGAGAGTACGAGTGCCTACCGATTGAGCATTACAGGCGTGGAAGAGTAAAGATTGTTCATGGAGCCTTAACCGGCGTGAACGCTTATACACGACATGGCGCCCACCGGTGTCTTTTAATTTTCCCGATGTAACAGAAAATTATTGGTGGAAAGTTTGGTGGTAATTTTCGGTAATAAATGGTCCGTTTTTGAAAGGCGTCGAACCGCAAAGGTACGCCGAAGGAGGTCAGCGTTCCTGATCTGGCCTAGTTAAATTATTTTCAGCGAGCTTCCTCGCAGTTGTGAGCTTCCTCACTGGTGAGCTTCCTCGCCAATTAAATTAATTTAATTTAAATTGGACCGTAGGAATTTAACAGTCGAAACCTCAAAGGTCGGCTGTGTAATTCATTGGTGTCTGTGTGGGTAATTTCCGGGTTGTCTGCGCAAAGCAGTAACCGCGGCGAATAAAGTGTAGTCTGCAGTGTCAGTGCACCTGGCCTGCAGATAGAGCAGATAGTAAGCACCGAGCCATTGTCAGTGGCCAGGTGAGATAACGATCTCCAGCAGACTGATAAAGGCAAGCCGCAAGCGGTAGCCAAAATCAGCAGCTAGAGAGAGTTGACCGTGAAAAAGGTAAACACCGGCAAACGGTGATTGACCTGTGAATTTTAAAAATTACAGCAGCACGCAAAGTGCAGCAGTGTAATTTTAAGAATTTGTTACAGTCGAAACCGCAAAGGTTGGCTGTGTCTAAACTCACTGAACAATTCAAACCTAAAAGGAGGATTGGGAAGTGAGGAGACAGTAATTGCACAATTGCAATTTTTGAAACCAGTAGCACAATCGCTGCTGTACCTTTTATTTTAAATAGCCGCAAAGGTTATTTAAAATAAAAAGCAGAAATGTCGGGCGGTTCGATTCCTAGAAATCGCCCACCACCGCGTAAAATCCCAGATAATAAAGTGATTATTGGGGCGTACGATGGATCGAGAGCTCAGACAAGGTTCAAATTTAATGCAAAAGAAATCCCGTTGAATTTAATGTACATCGCTCTTAATGTCGAACCACCAGAAGCACAAGATGCATTCTGTGGAAAGTCATGGATTGATTACCAGGAAATCAGGCGGTACTTAAATTCCAAAACGAGATTACCAGCACATTTTAAACCTTGGATTGAGTACGAGGGATGTATCCCTGAAGCTTACCTGGACATTACTGATGAGCAGTTTAAAGCTGCCTTGCAGGATGCAAACAGGTGGCTGCCAGAATATACGGAAGATTTGAATAGACGCAGAGAGGCGGCTCAAGCCGCACTCACAGCGTCAAAAGCAACTGGAAAAACTCCCAAAAAACAGGCAGCAAATGAGCGCGTCACGCGCGGTGCCAAGGAGAGAATTCCAGCCCAGGCATCCGGTGCGATACTGGATGAACCCATATCGGAAACTCCAAGTGTGGCTGAGAGCCAAACAGAACCTCAGTCTTCCCAGTCGGACAATAACTTGATAGCATTGTCGGCTGCGGATAAAGCGGATATTTCTGAAGGATCTGAAACAAGAGCAAGCAAAAGTATTCGTGGTGGAACAATGACATTCCACCCGGCACAGCTAAAATTATATAGTTTTGTGTCAGAAAAAGATTTTGAGCAACCAGATGAAGACTTCCTTACTCAAGCTAGGGAAGTTGACGAGCAGTTAGCTGCGGCAGAAACTGACCAGGATGTGGGCTTGATAGTCCGGCAAACTATGCCCGTATTAATCCAAAGTCTCCGCACGCTCATCGCATCTACAAAAACAAAAGTAGATGAAATGGGTAATACTATGTCTTTAGACGCTCGTGTTGATGCGGAACGAAATGAAAAATTGAAATTTCAAAAAGATTTCAATGAGATGCGTGTTAAATTCGAAAATGAACAAATAGAAAATGACAGATTGGCTAACGAAATACGTATTGCGAATGATAATTTGCACAGTCTAAGACAAGCCAACAGAAATGCGGAGGCCGCATTTAATGCAATGCAAGATGAGCGCGATACTTTAAAAGACACGAATCGTAATTTTGAAAAACAGTTGGAAGATGCCCAGAGAGATCTTTCAAACGCGAAAGCTACGATTGATGGCCTCAGTGCGCAACCAGCACCGGATTTAACGAAACAAATAACTGACTTGAACCAAAAGCTGTCGAAAGCTCAGAAAGATTGTAATTCTGAAAAAGATGCGCATAAATTAACTAATAAAAATTTGACGGATGCGCAGAACTTGGTCACGAAACTTACCAAAGATTTGGATGACGAAAAGAAGCGGGCTAAAGATGCGGAAGACTCTCTACAGCGTGAACTCACACAAGCGAGAGTTCAGTTGAACAATAAGTCTTCAGTCGGCCCGATGCATATTCCCAAGGAAAAGGATGATGCGTCCCAAAAGGAAATTGAGAGATTGCAGGGTCTGTTGACTACAGAGCGAGAGAATGTACAAAAGGCCCAAAAGGAATTAAAAGATTCGAAAAAGGATAAACGATGTGATAATTGTGAGAACGCGACTCAGGCGAAGAATAAAGCACAGGCAGATGCTTATGAGAAAGCGGACAAATGTAATCGGTTGTATGAAGAAAACACCCAGCTTAGGGCACAATGGTATGAAAAGCAAGAGCAACTTACCAAAATGGAAGATGATCTTAAACAGGCGGCCGAGGAGCTACTCCGATTTCGAAATCCGGGCGTCACTCATAGTGGCAATGAAAGACATTTTCAAAGGGAACCCCCTGTAGCGACGGGAGATGTGCTATGTCCTCCGCAATTTTCACTCTTCAATCCACAGAATTTCTCATCATCCGTTGAACAACCGTTACCTACTGGCAGTAATCCAGCTGGTATTTTGCGGAGACCCAGACAGGAATCACGAGTCGAATTCTCGGAGGGTCAGACCATGCTGCGTTCATCGTCAGAAAGTCAAATTCCAAGGGAAACGGCACCTGCCAAACAGAGGAAAAATGGCTCAACAGACTTACGCCAACAAATTCTGAAAAGAACAGCTGACGAATCTAGTCGCCAGATGCGAGGAACAGAAAACAGAGACAGTTCTGATACAGAAAATGAACTGATGGATGATGCCCTAATGGAGGATGAACACCGTCGCCCCAGTAGTACGACCAGCAATGAGTCTATGTCGAGAAATCCTCAGCTGGAGGAATGGCTGAATAAACAGACCCAAATCTCGGATAGAACGACACTTACACAAGAAAGCGTTGTTGAACTTTTAGCGAAATTTGTGGAAAAGGACAGCGATAAAACGGTGGGTGGCATGAAGCTCCTTGCCTTTGACGATGCTCATCCAGAAAAAATTCAAAGATGGCTCATGAATGTTGAACAATGTAGAGCCACGAATAACTGGAATGATGAAACAACGTGTCGCAGAGTAATCGGTGCATTCACCGGTCCGTCTTTTCAATGGTTTGAAAAATTCTGGAAGGATAATAAAGGCAAATCATGGTCTGATTTCTTTAAGCCCGCTATTGTAGAGCACTTTAACGGCTCGCTGTCTAAAGCTGATATTCGCCGAAAAATGAATAATCGTAAATTGGAATTTTATGAACCAGTCCGTGCTTACCTGGATAGTTTCCTCCCATGGTTTGAGGAACTAAAAACATCGGAGGAAGAGCAGGTGGAAGCACTCCTTGATGGCGTACAGGAGCATCGACCGGCATGGTTCCGTGAAATTTATAATGCGGCACCTAAAAATTATGCGGAATTTGAGAAGAAGTTACAGGAATGCGAAAAGTTATGGAAGCGCATGAATAAAGATAAGAAGGCACCTGAATCAACTCAGAAAAGCGCTCCTTCAGAACCGAGAAGCGCCGGAAATAATAATAATAATTCGAATTATGAGTATCGAGGCGGCCGCGGTGGCTCGTCGCAGAGAGGAAATTATTATTCGAACCGGGGAGGCCGCGGAAACTATGGCAACAATCGCGGAGGATATTCACGTTCGTACACGGAAACGGTGATTCCGCAGCCGCAGAATACGGTGGCTCCAATCCAACCCGTCCTGAATGTTCCCCAGCCGCAATTTGTTCCAGTTCCGGTGTATTCACAGCCACCATTTGTCGAACAGCACCCGGTACAATTTGCGCAGACTTTCCCTCAACCAATTCCCATGCAGGCTCCTATGCCTGTCCCAGTTCAAATGATGAATCCAATGATGCCGGTTATGCAGCCGCAATTCCAACAACCGGTACAGAATTTTGATCCACAGTACCAACAGAATGGCCCTGCGAATAACAATAATTATGATGGCGGTAATAATCGTGGAAATTACCGAAATAATAATAATAATTATCGCGGACGAAGTGGTTATAACAACAACAATAATCGTCAGCAAAATAACCAGAATTACCGGCAAAATCAACAGGCCGGTAGTCAGCCTCCGTTTGATGAACGAAATATCCTGAAGGATAAATGGCGAACAAATCGTGGAGTCGAGATTTGTTTCCGCTGTCATGGTCTTCATCCCGCTGCAGGTTGTACGAATCAATTTGTACTTCCCCGCCAGTATGAGCCATCCGCAGAATTATTGGCACGCTACAATAACCCGCAGCAGCAGATTAACATGATGGAGTTGGACTTACCGGCTGGTTTGTCTTCGCCGACGCCCCAGTGTAACAAAATGGAAGTCCAGGACTTTTCGCAGTACCCTCTAGCGGATCACGTGTGCCTGTTGCCGACGCTGGATGCCCAGGCTTGGTATTCTGTAATTGACATAAACTATCAGAAAGTAAAAACCATGCTAGATACTGGGTCTAGCATTTCAGTCATGTCTCTCAAAATGGCTAAAGATTTAAAATTAAATATTCACTGCTGTCCTGATCACATTAAAGGCAGGGTTGTACATACAGCTTACCAAGGGAGACAGTTGATTGAGCCGTTGTCGGTAGTGGTCACCATCCACGAATTTGGGATGGCTTTCGAGCACGCAGTGCTTGTGAGTTCCACTTTCGATAGGGACCACGTTGTTTTAGGTTTAGACTTTTTAGCTACAAAACCTTTTATTTTAGACATGAATACAATGACGTGGCGTCTCTCGCGTAGACAGTCTAATGCACCGGCATTCTTTCGCCGCGAAACTCACCTCATGTCGGATGTCATTAGGTCACACGATTTTGATCCGCTAATTCCTGTGGGAGTTAAGCCGTCACCCGCAATTCCCGCGTTGATGTTAACAGAACGAATTGGTGTCGCTAAAGAAGCAAAATTCGTACCGTATGAGTCAGCTCATTTAATTCTAGCAAAGGCTGATCCAGAAATTTGTATTCTGCACTTACAAAAGGCTAAGCAGGAGTGGCCGCGTCCAGTCCCGTCGCCACCAGTGACAAAAGTGGTTGATGCCCCGGTGAAAACGGAAGCTAAAGAAACTACACTAGTTCACGTAGCCCCGATTAAAAAGGGATCTGATCAGCGCGATGAAGAGTTTGTGCGTAGTGTAGTACAGGAGATGATTCGTCAATATCTCCCAAGAGCAGCTTCCGTCGCGGATGAACCTGTTCGTCCTGTAATTAAACAAGAAATTAAAGTGGAGAAAAACCCAGAACCAAGTCAAGTTCGTGGGGGAGGCGGTGAAACAATTGTGAATGGTATGCAGTCAAGTTCGCGGGGGAGAGAACAGGCGTCTTCCCAGCCGCCAATTAAAAAGGAAAAAGTTGTTCAGCCGTCACCGGCAAGCAGTCCGAGTACCTCGTCTCCGACATCGATTAGTCCCGTGCCTAACTTTGGCTCCAGTCAAGTTCGTGGGGGTGACGATCCCTTGCAACTTCCCATTCAGATTTCCTCGGTGGACGCAGTGCTGAAGCAGCATCCTGCGGCGAAGTATCTTTATATGGGCGTTTTAGGGAAATCAGCGAAGGTTGTTGAATGTCTTAGCATGGATAACAAATTGCTTAATGTTATACCGGTTGAGCGCGACCGCAGAGACGTCGATGAAATCCACGACTATCCGTCTTATATGGCACGCAATCCAGAGTTGAAGAGGTGGATGACGCCGATGGATAGGCCACAGGATAAACAGCTGTTTCCTTCAGAGAAAAAGATTCCGTGATCCGCAATTTTGGCGCGAAACTCAACAACAGTGTGTTGATAGCCGGATGTGGTACAAAATGTATAAGAAACCGTCGCACGCTAATACGAATTTTACCAAATACGAAATTAACAGATTCGTAATATGCGAAGGGATTTTATGTAGAGTACCTGATCATTCTGGTGCATGTCCGAGAATTTACGTGCCGCATCAATGGCGACAGAAATTAATCGCCTGCTTCCACGAAATTCTTATTCATAAGCAAGCGTACGGCCGGCATGAAAAGCTATATCCGTACTTGGTGAAATTATTTTACTGGCCGGATTGTATAATAGAAATCGAACGGTATGAGAAAAATTGCGACGTATGTCGAAATTCGATCAATGATCGCCGGCATTTTGAAACCTTGAAACGTACTGAACAGTTGGCCGCACAGAAAGCTACAGGAAAACGTAAAGTTACCTTTTCTGTGGATAACCCGGCACCAGCAGGTGAATTTGAAAACGGTAGCTTTGTCCCTGCAGATGGTATGAAACCCATTAACATCGGCCCGTGTCCGGTCTCCTACGAAGATAAACAGGCGGAGAAGCAAAGAGAAATAAATTCTCAAATGATTAGTAACTCACCGCCGCCGAAGCCGTCTGAGTTCGTTTCGGAGGATGTCAGAGCGACCTACGATGTTGCGACAAAAATTAATATTAATGAACAGTGGGAAATCTGGAATGACATTCAGAGACAAAAAGCATTGAGCGAATCTGCAGCTGCTAATCCAGTACGACCCACCGTGGAAATTACGAACCATCACCGGAAGGTTCGGGAAGGAATTCCCCTAGGCGTAAAAAAGTCCAGTTACAGCCGTAGAATTCGGCGGGAATACGCCGAGCGTGAGGCCGCAAGCCAGATGTCCGCTGAGACAGTGCAGCCAGCACCGGTACAACAACCGACGGCTAAAAATTTGCCCAAACGGTCTCAGGACGTCCGGGAATCCACGGATATCCCGGCATGCGTGTATTCGAAGGATGTCATCGAGCTGGCGTACAGGGACGCCCATCTGAAACAGGCACAAGCGCAGGTCGAAGTTAGTTCGGTAGAACACGATATTTACCGCTTCGAGCCAGAACCCGGTCCGATTGATTGCTTCAAAATGGAGCTGTTTCCAGCTTCGCCGGTCATAATTCAACCCCATTCGCAGGGAATTATTCGTGCAACGACGTCGATGTCTGACGAACAGTTCATGGAATTTCAAGACGAATACCTGTACACCCAGCCGTTTCTCTACGAAGGAAAAATACCAGAGTCAAATAAAAACGCTGTATTACTCGATGGCGTCTTAACGCTAAATGAATATGGTAATTGCCGGGTCTGCGTTGTTAACGTTTCTGACAAACCGCTCGTTTTGAATGAAGAAACCAACCTTGGCGAAGTCGCGCTTGTGGACGCAGTGTACCAAATGGACTCTCCGGAGTTCCAGGAGAATTGTCAAGAGGCCATTGGTGACATTCCCAGTAACCAGGAAGGCATTCCAGTGCCGGGAAAAATTACCGAATGTGTGGCGATGCAGTCGCAGTTGTCCGCTCCTGTCTCTGTTGACCCTGAAACAGAGGAAACCTTCGCCAAAATTAAAGTTGGAGACATTTGCCCCAGCAAGGAAGAATTAAAGGCTATATTTTATCAGGCAAAATCGGTCTTACCAACTAAAGCGCGTCCTGTGGGATGCTGTACCATTTATGAGCACTCTGTGGATACAGGCACAAGTTTGCCGGTCAGAACTCCTCCGTACCGTACGTCGTTTGAGGATCGTAAATGGCTTCAAGCTAAAACACAGGAAATGATTAAAGACGGTATAATTGAGCCAACAAATTCGGCGTGGGGCAGTCCCATCTGCATAGTGAAGAAGAAGGATAAATCCCGGCGTTTAACCGTGGATTTCCGTAAGCTTAACGAAAGATTAATGGGCAGCAGTTACCCGCTTCCCAGAGTTGACGACATATTAAATGCCCTCGATAAAGCTACGGTTTTTAGCAAGATCGATTTAAAAAGTGGATTTTGGCAAATTAAAATTAAACCAGAAGACCGGTGCAAAACAACAATGGTTGGCGAAGAGTTCACGTTTCAATACAAAGTCTTACCTTTTGGAATGAAGGACGCGCCTTCGGCTTTCCAGCGCGCCATGGATTTGACGCTTGCGAACATGAAGTGGAGGAACGTGTTGGTTTTTATTGATGACATTATTGTCTTCAGTAAAAACCTGGCTGATCATATGCGAGACTTACAGGAGCTCTTTTTGCGGCTCCAGGAATGCGGCTGGACCATTAATCCTGAAAAGACAGAATTATTTGTAAATTCAATAACGTTCCTGGGTCACACGGTCGACCAGTTCGGTATCAGTACTGATCCAGAGAAGATCCAGGCGGTTAAGGAATTCGGTCCTATTAAAGACAAAAAAGATATACTGCGTTTTCTAGGCATGGTAGGATATTACCGCCAATTTATTAAGAATTTTCAAGAGATCGCTGAGCCGCTTCAAAAGTTGATTCCTAAAAAAGTTACCTTTGAATGGGGAACGGATCAGTGTAGGTCTGTGGAACAATTGAAGGAGGCCTTGGTGACGGCGCCGGTCTTAGCCCGTTACGACCCGGAGGCTTTGTCGCGTGTTATCGTCGATGCAAGTACTATTGCTGTGGGTGCAGTTCTTATGCAATGTCCCAAGGATAAACCAACTGATGTGCCGACAAACTGGCGTCCTATTGCGTATCTAAGCCGCAAGTTGACTGAAACACAGAAAAGACTGTATTTCCCTACTGAGCTTGAAGCTTACGCGGTTATCTGCGCTTTAAAGAAGTGGAAGCATTATTTGTCTGACTATCAGTTCGAAGTACAAACGGATCATCAAGCATTAGTGTTTTTAAATAATATGCGCGATGCCGCTGGCCGCCTTGGGCGCTGGGCGTTGTATATCCAGCAATTCAATACTAAGCCTGTTCACATACCTGGCAAAGAGAACGTAATTGCTGACGCGTTGAGCAGAAATCCAGGAGAGCAACCGGAACCTAATTCTGATGACTCGGATATTGAGTTCGATTATCGGCAAACTTACCCTTTCGCCGGTGATGCCGCGATGATCGAGTGTTGTTTCGCGATCCTGGAAAGAGATTATGTGGATATCCGCTTTGAGATGATGTCGGCCGAAGTTAAAGCCATTCCAGAGGAAGACATGAAAGCCTTTGATGAGGATAAGGTGCAGAAGTTAATTACTGACGATAAGGCTTCATACTGGGCTGAAGAGCAGTCTCGCGATGCGCGAATTGTCCGATGGCGGCTGCTCCTAGAAAATAAAAAGGAAAAGATGTCAGAGCACGAGAAATTACACCTAAATAAATTTGTAGTGAAACAGGGCGTTGTTTATTATAAGTTCGAATTAAACCGGAAGATCTATTATTGCATGTATGTACCTGTTCACTGGCGGCTTCAGTTCCTTCAGGATAACCATGATTCCCCGTTAGCAGCACACTTGGGCGTCCTGGCCACCTATAAAAGGATGTACAAGTATTTTTATTGGCCCCGTATGTTCGAGTCTGTTAAAAGTTACTGTGCCTCTTGCCCGGCGTGCCTTGCACAAAATCCTCTTGCTACGGCACCGGCCGGTGCTCTCCAGTCCAATCCCACCGTTCCTCCTCGGTTAGTTTGGGCAATCGACGTTGCTCCGGCTCTCCCAACGACGGAATCTGGAAACAAAAACATAATAATCGCTGTTGATTACGGAAGCAAATACATTGTGGCTGAGGCAGTTGAGAGAAATGATGCCGCCACATTGGCGTTGTTCTTTTATCGCCGCATTCTCACAGTCTTTGGCATGCCTGTACACATCACCTCAGACCGCGGCAGTAATTTCATGTCTGAGATGTTTCGGGAGCTTCTCGCTCTCGCGGGTGTTGCTCACGCACCGACGGCGTCAGGCCACCAGCAGGGCAATGGACTCGTCGAAAAACGCGTAGGGGAAATCAAAAAGGCGCTAGCGAAGTATGTGAACGAGCAGCAAAGTGACTGGGATATATTCCTCCCAGCACTTTGTGCTGCCTTTAACAGTAAGGTTGTGGAGCGAACGGGCCGCTCACCATTCTTCATGATGCACGGCACCGAGATGCGCTTACCGATAAATAACTTCCTGCCATTTGAAGAGGATTTTGTGATTCCCGCCCATGTATACGTACAGCAGATGCAGCGCGGCCTTGGTGAGGCCTTGGATTTAGTGAATGCAGAAGAGTTTCGCCATAAACTTAAAGATAAAATTAGATATGATGCAAATATTTCACATGTATCGTATAAACCGGGGAGATCAGGTTTTGGTATACGTACTTCATCGGAAAGTGGGGAAGAATCCATCCCTTATGCCCCGTTGGACTGCTGGATGGGAAATCGTGCGTCAGTCAGGGCCAGTGCATTATGTAGTAAAAAGTAACCGGCGTGGAAATGTCAAAACTGACACTGTACATGTCAGCCGTTTAAAGCCGTATAATTTCCGCGACGTCGATACTATTCTGCAAGACGAGCACTTACCGAAGTTGCTCGATTGTGTGGAGAAGGAATGCCCCGATGAGTTAGTTGAGGCGCCCGCGCCGCCGCCGGTGATTCCATCCGTTGATTCAGCATCGTCGCGCCTTGATGCTGAGTACGCTGAATATCTGGATAACCAGATGGAAGCGGTTCCATTACTTAAAACCCGCTCCGGGCGTGTGGTGAAACCTGTGGAGAGATTTATTAATCAGAGCAACGACAAAAAACGCAAAGAGACCCGTCGGCTGATGCTAAAAGCGCAGGGCCACAAGTGATAGAGAACCGGCTATTCTGAACGTATCCCAGCCGGGAGGGGGCCAATCTGAACTAGTTGCCCCGGTGGCCAGTGATACTTCGCCAATTACCTGTAACGCAATGGAGATTGGGCCGGCGCAGCCAACAAAAACTTCTGCTGCAGTTATAGAAGACAGAACTCTCCCAGTTCCGGCTTGGGCACGCCCAATTGAGCAGTTCTGGCCACAAGGCGTAATATCCGATGACGCCCTTGATAAGCAGGAATTCTGGAGGTATCGCCAGATGGAGTGCAGTGACATGATGTTGTGGGACGCCGTTGTTGATGGAGATTGTACTCTCGAGGAATCTGCATACGCGGCCTGGCATCTCCCTCTAGTTCTGAAAGTAAAAGGCATTATCTGCCATTACGGCGAAAGAGAGGATATCCAGAAAAGAATCCCTAAAATTCTGATACCGTTTCAATGGCGTAAAATATTAGCTGAATCAGTACACCGTCGATTGCTTCACAAGTATGGCAGTACCATTTCGCCATATGATTACTTATATAAAAACCTTCGGTTTTTCTGGCCTGAAATGAAGTCGGATTTAGCGAAATTTTGCCGAATTTGTACCCTATGTAATCTGGATTAAAAGGCCGAGCGGCCGTGTAAATTTGTACATTTATTTTATTTTATTTTATTTTATTTTTGAACTCCAAGGATTGAAATTTTTACTCTCTACTGCATTAAATTGCCTGGAAAATTCCCAAACTGTTTGTACGTACAGATTGACGGTGTGTATTCGCCATTGGACAGTCCGCAGTGACGTAGTAGCGTTCGTTGCTCTTTCGGCATATCATCTGCGTGGAAAGCTGCTTTTAGCTGGCCGCAAATGCGATTTTTACCTGTAAAGATCAGTGGCATTCATTAATTCACTCTCAATCTTGCGTGAATTTGTTCCTTCTCTACACTGATTTTACGGTTGAAATAACTCCATACCGCTATAATGTATCGCCCGAAAGTGCCAGCACATCATTCCTTCACGCACGAGGATACTACGAGTTCCTCGGAGGATTCGGTGCAGGTCTTGGCAGATGTCTTGGCCGATGTTCAGCCGCCAATGTACCCCGATCCTCATGTTGGATGGCCTGAACCAACATTTGAATGGTCCCATCTCATGGTGGATTGTGGTCTTCGACCGTCTCCGTATGACTATGCCCGTGGAGGAAAGAGTTATATTCCCCCGTCTGGTTTGATTAATTGTCCCTACAATCCGGACAGAGATTATGTGGAGCTGCATCCTGAAACTCGATTGCGCTTTCGGGGCAAAATTTATCACAATGGCTCAGAAATGACGGTGGACAAATATAACCGCTTTGTTCACACGCTGGATCTGTCAAAAGACGCACATTATGCATTGTTACGTTACCTGCGTGTGGATTTCCGACAAGGATGGCTCATCGGGCAAATTGTGTGTGAACTCCGTCGGAACTTCGGCATCAATGTGGTGCGCAATCCTGTCGAGTTTCTCACTGCGTTGGATTATGTCCCGGGGGAAACGGGAGACCATGGTGCCGTTGTTACGCTCGTGGACGCGTATAATCAGCATATCGAGGAGTTGGTTTCCAATATTGACGAGGATCACCGTTTGGAAGCAGAGCAGCGCTATTTCGATCGTCTGAATGCAGCGGATCCGCGCTCGTCATCCCAACAACAGCAGCAATTGCAACAAACTCGTTGGCTGTTACATGAAGGACAAGAGAAGCGTGGCCCGGGCAAACTTGATGCTTCAATCGCCAAACGCCACCGTCCACGCCGTGATGACGACGACGATAATATGGGCGCTGCGGTGTAATGATGATTTTCTCCTGCAATTACAGCCCTGTTTTAGCACCCTTTTAGTTTAGCTTCTGTATTTTCGTTTGACGGAGAGCATTATCTTTAGTGTTGAGCATTTTACTCCAAGTCTATTGAATTCTGTACAGAACCTGTTTTCCGTTTACAATTAGATCTTTAACGTTATTTTTACAGCCTGTGCAACGTGCAGCTATTCTACGAACTGGCTTACCATTCATTCTCTGGAACGCAGATTTGGCTGTTCAGCAATAAATCGGTTCAAATCGGACTTCTCCGGTTGTTTAAAATCAGAATGTGGCAGATAATCTGACGGAAAACGATTTAACATACAAAATGACAGTTTAAAATGCAAGTCTTCACGTTTGAACATGTAAACAATTTTGTCACTGTAGCAACCGCCCGTGTGTCGTTAAATGTTAGGGCAGTGGCAGTCACATTGTCGCAGCTGCTTCCGGTCTGCACAGCTGCGGTGTCAGCGGTTTTCCTGTTCACTTGCTTTTACATTTTTTAGCTGCAGCTTTTAAATTTTACAGACTTTGTCGTCATTTGTTCTGGTTTAAATCTCTGCTCTTCATACTATGGAGATGGAATTTTATAAATCAGAGCGCGGGCGTATGATTTGTGCCGAGCAAGATGAGCAAAAGCGCCGTAAGTTTGTGAAATTTTCAGCTCTGTTGCTTATGTTCTGGCGAACCAGGAACACATTTTTGAGTTTGTACTGTATGTTCGCTTGATGTTCGTGTATCTCTATCAGAGAACTGCAGACTCTCTAACTCGGAAATCATGGCTTTGAATTTTGTAGAACCTGAGCCACTGGATTTCGAGGCTCAGGTGGCTCTGAGATTGAGAACATCCGCAAGTCGAGTCACAGATGTATTACTTAACGATCGGGTTTATTCTGTATCCTGATACTCCAGTTCGACGTGAAGCATCTGAATTGCGGAAGGAATGGTTTGCCATCCCTATTTAACCTGCCAGAAACTTCGCGGAGCGTCACCAGCGCATGCTGAACACAACAAGCGTGATGGAGGAGGAACTCTGTTGTGTTGACTGTGAAAATAATGGTCCGGGTTCCGCGGCCGTATGTGTACACCTTGGACGATGAGCCTGTTCCAAATATCTGGGGATCTGGCAATCTGGAGGACTGGAAAGAGCCAGACTTAGATGTGGATGACTGGTGG